ACCATGCCTAATACAGGAGGGTTCTGGTCTCTGACATGTCTCGCTAATTTTAGTCTCAGTCAATGATTATCTTTTGGGGGGGTGTTTTGTTACACTACATGTATAATTATACTGGATTTTCTCTTCTACTACCCTGGTAAATTGTTATTAAGGCTTTATCATTATATTAAAATAATTTACCCTGGTAAATTATTATCAGAGCGCAGATTCCCGTTAATTCCATTGTTTAAAAAGTCACGAGATGCATCTCCCTTGTTTGGGCTGATCTGACCCTCTGCACTTAACATAGATGAAAACATACCCGTGTGCACACTTGCACGCACACAGAGGTCATGCGTGCCCACGCACCCCCTCGCTGTGCTCTGACCCCCCCCAAGGTGGATGTGCCAGCTGCAGCAGAGCTGGAGGCACTCCCATCTCTTGCAAGCTTTTAAGTTCTCTTCTCACCAGCCAGAATATTTCAGAAGTATTTTCAGAAATGCAGGTGCATGCGGTTGTTGGGAGCAGCTTGCTTAGAGTTACGTCGCTGTTTCACCTTACAGCAGCCGTGCTCTCGGGGGAGATTATCTGTGTAGTAATTAGTGAGGGAGTTTTCTGTGATGCTGCAGCGTGATTCATGCAGCTTCCAAAAGATTAGTTTTTTACCAAATAAAATATTTACAGATGTACTTTGCTGTGATAACATCTCTGACTTGAGATGGCTCATTACGGACCCAGGAGTAAAGATCTGCAGGGCCAAAATGTGACTGCATGACCCAGAATTTTAGGCTCCTCCGGCAGCTAGCACAGCCCCAGCGTCAGCAAGGGGAACTTTGTTCCTGGCTTTAAGTTGCAGCGAAGTTCTGCAGCCGGGGCCGGGTGGAGGAAAAAGTCCTTTTACTTCTCATTGCTGCCTGTCTATGGTAGCAGGGAAGGAGGGACAGCAGTCACTTGCTCTCCCTAAGAGCTGGAGTGCTCTTCTGGGGGGGGCAGGGGGTTGAAGGTACCTTGGCTTGCTAGCTCCCTTTCCTGAAATAGAGAGCAGAAGTGGGCCGGGTGATACCAAACACTCAGCGCAACAAAGTTCGCGCTTTCTTAGTGTCTTGTTTCATGGGTTAAAGGTGAGCTTGGGACAGCCAGCTTTAGCCTCATAAGAAACCACTTCCCATTAGCTTCCATGTTTTTTTTTCTTTTCTGAAGTGTCTGTGTAAGCATTTTTTAATAATGAGACCCTGTTCTCAACACTGGGTTGCCTTGCAAACACATAGCAGTTCTGCCTTCTGCAAGTACCCAAGATGGGGGATATACAGTCTAATTCCTTTGTCTGGAATGCTAATACTAATCAACTTTGATTAGTATTAACCTTAAACATGCTACTCCTGACTTGCACCAAACTTAGCTGTAGGAGAGTCAGAGCTGCAACCCGTGAATGAAACTGGAATGGATTTGAGACTATGCACTTGGCAGCGTAAATTGTGGAGAGTAAGGTAAGTAGGTTTTAGAAGACATTTAAATTAGTGTCGCCTTCTGATGGTGTCTGCAGCAGGAGAATGCCTGGAGACCCGTTGGCTAATGAGTGGTAATGGCTACATGCTGTGCATGACCCAGCAGGCGGTGTGAGCCGGGACTGACCCTGCTCCTGCAAGCTGGGTTTAGCCATAGCCAGGGCTGGGACTGACAACTGTAACGCACAGAGGGAAATACAGTTTAACTCTGGGACTCTTTGACCTCTGAGTAGGACCAGGGGACTGCTTCTTCAAAAGGCATGTAGTGATCCAGGTTCTAGCAGTAGAGGGGATAGCTGTTTCTTCTCAGGGCCTTGTGTAAAAACTTGGGAATTAATCATAGAATCATAGAATGTTTTGGGTTGGAAGGGACGCCTAAAGGTCACCCAGCCCAACCCCCCTGCAGGGAGCAGGGACACCTTGAACCAGACCAGGTTGCTCACAGCCCCGTCCAACCTGGCCTTGAATGCTTCCAGGGATGGGGTCTCCACCCCCTCTCTGGGCAACCCCTGCCAGTGTTTCACCACCCTCAGTGTGAACCTACTAAAAAGATTGTCCCCACCTTTCCTATGGGCCCCCTTTAAGCACTGAACGGCCGCAGTCAGGTCTCCCCGCAGCCTTCTCTTCTCCAGGCTGAACAACCCCAACTCTCCCAGCCTGGCCTCATAAGAGAGGACATTGCTTTGTTTTGGCATCCTTTATATTGACACAGAAATGTTAGGAACAAACATACTACCGAAAGCTCCTTCTGTGGCAAAAGACCTTCAGTTAGGAAGTACAAGACAAAGAAAAAATAAAAATAAAATTCATTAATCATACCTTACCATACCATATGTAAAGTAATCAGGTTAGGATTGTTTTCAGTTTTGCTAGCCTAATAAACAGAGCATCTATCTTGTTTCAACGATACAAAAATGAGAATGACTGCTTTCCTGTTCACTGGTTTACAGAAAAGAAAATTCTGCACCCAAATTAGCCTGAAATTTTAAGAACTCCTCATTGCTCAAAGTGGGTCATGAAATGAGCAATGTGATTCCTTCACATTACTCCTAATGCCGTACTTGTGTTTATGGATGTGTTGGCCTTGGTTGATGGTAGGTTCTGGTTTTTTAATTTAATTTAACTTCTTTCTTATTATAGGCACGCTGCTTGCAAATCTAATAATAAATTTCTGTAAATATTACTTTGGGAGGCATCTGTTCCTTAAGGAAGCCTTGGAATTGGTGTTTGTTTTATTTATAAAATATGCACAATGTAAATAGTCCCTGGAAGAACTTCTGCAAGGCTGGAGACGTGATGACATACAGGGACATTACGGTCTTGCAGGTCAGGCAAATCTGAAATAATACTTGGAAAGAAATGTGACAAACTTCCATCTTTTTAGGGGCTTATCTGGGCACAGGTACAGTGACAAAATGGCAAGTGTTCCTTCTTGCCCTGATAGCTAAGGGATGAGGTAAAGTAAGTTTGCAGCAAGTTCGCAGAAGGAACCATGCTGTATAAACATGAAGGGAGTTTCTGTGTGTGCGTGGCTTTCTTTATCCTTGTGTCTCTGTACTAGGCAACGACGTCCCGTGTCAGTATGGGCAAGCTGCCTAGATGCACAAAATTTGGTGAAGGAGTTGTGGTTTTTGTCAGTTGGGGGGGTTTCTCCTGTAAGAAGGAGTAGCCTTAGATGGAAGGAGATGTGTCATGCGACTGAGATTTTTCTTATTATTTGCGTTCTGGCCATTAGATCAGCTGCACTGTTTGTAATTTGAAGGCTATAAAATGTTACATAAATACGTTGTATGGCGTGTCTGTTGTGAGCTTACTAAACCTGCAGCATCCAGGGAAGAGAGATCAGAGGCACCCGATGCCAGAGCCCCTGCAGTGGCAGAGGATGGAAGAAGTGAGATAGGTCTGAATGCCACCCGTGGACAAACCATGCCTCAAAAGGCACAGGGGTGAAAATGCCAAATTTCGCCCTAGGAAGTCCTATTCAATCCTGTATTTGGCAAATTGCAGGAGAGAGGCATCTGGGGATATTTTTTCCATGCATCCGTCCTTGATTCAGCCTTATGCGGTCTCCTTTCTCCTGATGTGACCCTTTCTAAGTGTTCAGATGGTGGAGAAACAACAAAAAACACAGACAAGAATACGCCTATCCCCACTTGTAAAAGCACTCCTTCCTGACCTCTTCGCCTGGCTGGCTGTGCAGTATCCCTGAAGCAGGCAATTCGGCTGCAGGGGGTTTTCCTGCAAAGCTGCATCAAAGCTGCGAGAGGTTCTCAGAGGGCAATGCAAAGCTGCTCTTTTTCCCCATGGTCTAGAAAGAGAAGACATGAGTAAGAGAACTGTTACCTTTATTCCAAGATCAGAAGGGACCCCATGACCGTATTCTTTTATCTTCTGCAATGTTCCCTAGACAGTGCATTAAAGTATATATTATTTATTATGAAGTATATTATAAAAATTGATATTATAAAAGATAGCTAATCCACAATTTTGAAGTCCAAGAATCTCTATTTAAGAACTCTTTTTAGCTGTTTGGATGTGGTCCTGGGCAACTGGCCCTTCTTGAGCGTGGGGGCTGGACAAAATGACCTCCAGGGGTCCCTTCCAACCTTAACCATTGCTGTGGTTCTGTGAACATGCTAATCTCTACCTCCTCTGATAAACTGTCTTTGTATTTAGTTCCCTGCTGTTTAGTTCTTTATTACTCAGATAGTCTGCTATCACAGCTACAGTAGAGAATTCTGCACTTTTGGTTGGTTTGGGATTTGATAGAGTCTTGTGTTTTGTTTATGTTTGTGTAAATGTTACCAAAGATGGAAGAGAGTTAAGCCCCCAGTTTGATTTGCCACCATTTTTGTGTTTTGCATTATCTTCGTATCAGGCACTGTTGCAATGTCAGTGGGGCATTACACATGCATGGAGTTAAGCATGTCAGTGTGTGCTTTTCTCGGTTAGGACCAGAAAGTTTGGAATTCATACAAGTTATCCCATATTTATATTTTGCTAGACCTAAAGGGTAGGATAATAGGATGGAAAGGATTGTAAGTTTCTGCTGATTCAAAAAATGCTATTTGGCAAGTGTGCTATTCCTTTCAACTGCAAAATCAGAAGAAAGGTATAAAAAGGACAAAGTGAGATGACTGTGCAATGAGCTCAGATATGTTAATTTGGGTTATGTGTGTAGAGCAAATGATGCCAGCATAAGCAAACCTCACTTAATTCCTAGCAATTGCCTGTGATTTATGGCAGAATTAACATGATGTAGCTCTTGGAAGAATCTTAATCAAACTGAACCGGGGTGACATGTTGTCATACAAGAACAAAGATGTCTGTGAGAGGGAGAGCTAGAGAGGGGTATCATTTTATTCTCCAGCTTTCAAGGTGAACGTTTTTTATTACGTTTCTTGGAAACAATGTGAGATTTGAAGGAAGTATCAGTGGCCTAGTCTGAGGAAAAAGAAAGCAAGTCTTGAGTTCCTTCATCCATTTAAGCAGAGCTTGGATTGTTTCTTTTATAAGGGATCTTGGAACCACATTGTCCCATCTCCATGTCCTGTGGATGGCTTGCTGTGGGCTCTCAGATTTAGATGGGATCTCTTCCTGCAGCTCTCTGAAAGTAAGTATAGATGTGTCCTGCCAAATGACGACCTTAAAACTATCTTCTGTTGATGCTTTTCTCTTTTTACTTGTAGTTTTTGTTTCCTTCTCACCCTTTGTTTTTTCTAAAGGACTTTGGTTCGATGCCTTGAATTGCATGTGTTAGTTTAAAAGATGCTACAGTATATTTTTTTAAATGAGGTCTAACATTCAGGTCTGATCCTGAAGATGCCTAATGCAGCATAGCATCTGTTGCCATATTAGCCTTAATTGTTTAAGGCAGCAACAGCCACACTTGAAAAATATTCACTTCCATGCTAATTTCATGCTGTGCTATGTAATATTTCAAATATTAGAAAACATTTTGCAAAGCTTGAGTGTTACTTGTGCAAGCCTGTGGTATACATTTTTATTCTGTTTACTTCTGCTGAGGAACTCTACATAGCCTATAACAATATCTCTGACCTGAGCCAGCTGACCTGGTTGGATCACCTTGAGGTTTTGGACCTGGAAGGGAACAATATTGAGGACATCAACCAGATGCAGTACCTGGGACTTTGTTGCAAGCTGAGCTGCCTGACAGTGGAGGGCAACCTTATTTGTCTGAAGCCAAACGCAGAGTCTACAGAGGTGAGGATTTGGTTTGCACATATTGTGTTAATTTTTGGCAGTGCTTTTTTAGTTTGAGTTGGAAATGAGAAACATTCCTGCATCTTCCTATTGTATCATTCTGAGTGATGTCATGGGATGCATTTCCCGTCTTCCATTTCTGTTGATTTTGTCCTCTCATAGGTACTGTCTCCAAGATGAGCACAAATGAAATACAAGGAGTGCTAGTAAAGATTCAGGCCTATTTCCTAGCAATGTGTTCCTTCTTACCTGTGAGAACGGGATTAAACTAGAAACCAGCTGTTCTGATCCATACAGCTGTTCTATCTTCTCCCAGCTTGCAGTGCAAACAGACATCTTAAAGGAAGACCAAGGAGAGCGTGGACCCCAGCTGTATGGATCCTTCTAGCCTATAGGGATCTTGCAGCAGGTTGGAGAGTAGCCAATATTTTTCTTAGAAGATGTGCCAATTGTAATGTCTCAACTAGATATCTGTCTTTGGGCTTTTACATTTCTTTTGGAGGCTCTCTGGTCCAACAGCAAGTGCTCCAGGACCACCACACTCAAAGGCTGAATCCTCAGAAAAACGATGCTTGAGATAACTAGGAAAAGCTCTACTGTAGGACCTGCTTGTTGTCCTTTCCCCTGGAAGGTTAAAATGAAATGACCAAAAGACCTTCAGCAAAAGCTTGAGATACAAAATGCAGTGATTCACCTCTTATGTACTGAAATGATAGAATCATTTCTGCGGAGGTATTTTGTTGAGGGCATGAGATCCTCTGTGTGACAAAGATGGAAACACAGTAATACATTATCTGCTTTGGGTTTCAGGGCACTCAACAAGAAAAGTCAGGGAGATCTAATTCTACGTGAATGGTCTCAGAGCTGTATTACTCACTTTCATTTCACCCTCCTTCAAAAAAAAAAAAAAAAAGCATTGTTGGGATATAAAAACAAACATCTTGGCATGTAGCGAAAAGGTAACTGGAGGAAAATCAGAGGTCAAATAAGACTGTTCCTCATTTTGGTCACATAACGTCTAATGCATATATCGTTAGATGACAGTTTATAGCCAGTGCACGATATATTGTCATCCAGGTCTTTTGGAAGGTCACAGACCTCTGCACACACACATAGGTATGTGGAACACAGCACTCACTACGGATGCCGCAATCCCCAGTGGCCCTGTAAAGAGCTGATCATGCAGGGGTTAGAAAGCAGAGTGGGAGCTGGGGCTGTGACTCCGCTGTGCCGTGTTCCATAGCTTCGCTGTGCGTTTCAAAGGGATCATGCCCATGATCACTTAATTTCCATAAAAGGTTGGGTTTGATGTTTGTCCTGGATTCAGACTTGATAACTGAAGTGCTATCACTAAAACTCAATCTTGTAGTATATATGCGCATATTTTGAATCTTTGTACTTTTTAGATACATTAATTTTTCAGATGTAATTGTTGGCTTGATCATATCCCTCAGTACGAGGAGACACAGAAGGCAGTGCTTTAGCTATCATAACTTTTCTCTCTGGAATCCAAACGAAAATATTATACACTTGCCTTTCTGTTTTGAACTGGTAGCAGTATACTTCAGAGGCCACACTTGTAACTATTTATAACCAAAATTTCTCCATCAACATTTCTCCCTTATGGAAGATGCAATCGTGAGATGAAAAAACATATTCCTACAGTAAGGAAGCACTGCCTGCTTCTGATGGACAAAGCACGCCTACTTACTCTTTTACTCCTGCGGAGACAAATACAACTTCTGACACTTCCTTATCTTAGCCTCCTACCATGAAAATGATGCAGAATATCCTAACAGCATAGAAAGTCTGCTTCTACTCTCTTGTCTTTCCTGATCAACGAAAGTGATATTTTTGGAGGACGTAGTTTTTACTTGGCATCTTCAGTCCTTAAATGCACTTGTAATGGAGAAATGTCAGATTGCCTTTGTTTAGCTGAGGAAATCAGTCCTTGGGACGCTGCTACATGTCGTCACCTAGCGGGAGTTCAAAGATTGATACGTGGTGGTGTGCCCTACTGCTCTTCTCCACGCTGAATGGCTGTCTCCACTCCTGTGCAAGTAGTTGCGTTCAAATGCTGGCCAGGATTTGGTGAGGGAGTCTGCACGACGGTATTTTTTACTCTGAGCTGTAACAGAGGCAGACCCTAAGTTCACTGCAGTCTCCCACCCAGCCTCCATGTTGGGAAGCTGCTCAGCCCTGGGGTGGTTACAGAGCCGGCCATGCCCTCAGCTGCCGGGAGCTTCTCCATGGGCTTTGTTGCTTTCTTGGTTTCAACTGATGTCATTTGCATTTCTTCAGGGTACAGAAAAGTCACCTGAAATATAGGAAAGAATAGATATGGGCTTACTTTGGTGTGCCCTAGATGGCCAGCTCTAATTCCTCAAGCTCCGTCTTGTAGTCTGGCCATTGCTACAGCTCTGTAAAAGCTCTCCTATTTATTTACTTTTAATCTACAGAATGGTCCAGCTAAATTTACTGCTCTTTTCTTCAGACAGCCTGTTTGCTCTCTGTAATTTGATTTTCAGATGAGCTCATCTTCCCCTGTTATCTAAACCAAGAGCAACAACCTGATGATAAATTCTGCAGCCTCCGTTGCAGTAATGTAACATGAGCGTAACATGATGCTTCTCTCCAACAGGACATGGCTGGAAATTGGCTGTAGCCCAGGCACTGTTCAGAGTACGTGTGGTATGGGGTAGCACGGCAATTGGTTGACTCATTTTCTAAATTAAGATTAAAGGCTTAGTTAGAGAAATTCAGTGTCTGCCTCTTCACAGCAACAAACACACGCTTTATTTGGTGAGTTCCCCGATGCCGCCTCGCTGCTGCATCGTGCAGAGGGAGAGAGCATACAGCCAGCCAGGTCCCACAGACAGGTTTCTGTTTGTGACAGCTCCATGTTGAATGAGGACTTGGCTTTTATGGGGTTTTCTAATCGTACATGCAGTGTTTTGAGAAGCATAACATCTATCTGGATGAAGCGATTGATTTGTAGGTGGCTGTCCACTAATATTCTGCCACTAGCGGTGCACTCTTGCGTAGAGTAGATCACCATCACCGTTTGCTGCCTTTTGTAATCTGAGACTATTTTAACCAAAAATATTCCCATTCCAAAGCAGCACAACCCCATCAGCCCTGAGGTATCGCTAAGTTTTCCCAAAGACAAAGGTGCCATGTGACGGTGTCTTTCTACCGCTGGAATCCACAAAACCAGCCCAATTCACAGTGTGCTCTGAGCCCAGTTGTAACTCTTCTGGCTTGGCCTTGCTGCTCAGAAGTCCCGAGGAATTGGCACATGCTCATGAATCATTTTATAATGTGTCAGCTCCACCCAAGTGAGCAGAAGGGGGCTGCACCTCTGCTTTCCCCCATGGCTGTCACACTGAGCCCATGTGCATTGGGAGCAATCGCATTGTTTTTCCAGCACACAGAAAGAATCCCAAGTGCAATCCATTTTAGCCTTCTGTGTACCTGCTGTTGGCATGCAACCTTCTTGCAGAAGAAAACGTACTTTGAAGTAAGCCATCACTTTCTACCAGTGTATAAAATCACACACCAAACCCCTGAAGACTGCCTCAGAAAATCAGTGCAGTTCATTCACTGCGGCTGGTTTATGGTTGTGCCTAAAAACACGATCCATGGAAATACCCTTTCCTTTTCCATCAGCAGGTGTAGCACATTCATAACATGTTTTCAAGTCTTCTTATCACCTCAGTATTGATGCAGCAACCAGAGAATCGCAAAAGCCCAGGATTTCCATGGGCACCAGTGGACTTCTATGCTTTTGTACATTATATATAATATAACAAAGACAAATGCCAAAGTCATTAGTGGGTAAACAGCAAAGGAGCCTTTGGGTGGGGGACATGTTTGCACTGCTGAGGACATGTTCATGATCAATTCAAGTAGAAATTATGTGAGGGGAAAGCACAGTGAAATGAAATTCCTGACTGAATTTATTTCTGTTGAATGAGGTGAATAGGTTTGCCTTGTAGAAGGCGTTTCAAGCTGTATAGCAGTCATACAAACTGAACACTGCTGTGCTGCTGGTGGAAGTCCACAGTGTGTTAAATAAACTGTTCAAGTGACTGCCTTCTCAATTTCTCCAGGAACCAGATTATAATTACAGAGCTGAAATAAAAAAACTCATTCCCCACTTGGAGTATTTGGACGAAATACCAGCAAGCCAGACTGCTCTCCTTCCTTCCAAGATGATGTATAAGGATTGGCTGATCATCAAGGAATCCATCAAGGAACATGGTTTAGCTGGAGACATTTCATGTTTAGGTATGTCAGGTTTCCTATCGGGGTTCATTTTTCAGGTTACAATGTGTGAAGAAGAAAGATGAAGAGCAAGCTGGCCTCTTCAAAGCCAGTGTTTAATTATAGCAAAGGGACGAAGGATGTTGTCTTCTTCATTTGGGAAGTGAGGAAGCTGGAAATTAGCGCAGTGCAAATTTAAATGAAAGCTGTCCTAAGCTGGTCATCAAGACCAGAAAAATGCAGACAATTTCTAGAGCATCAAGCAAATCCAGCAGTAGTTGGGAGTCTGTATTTAGCGTAGTGATGGGAAGAAGCAAAGCTTAGAAAGGAATGTTTCAACAACAGCTGTTTGCAGCCCTTTCTGTGGTAGCAGTCAGTCCCATGTAGCGTGGATATAGTAGGATTTCCTACTCCCATTTCATAATAGGAAAGGCAATTTGGTCACCATCCCTCAGTGGTAACAACATCCTAGCAACTGAGATTGCATGGTCTCGTAAGAGATCTGTTCCATTTTCCTTGCCTCTGTGATTAAGTCCATTACGTTCATTAGTAGAGAGTAAATGGTTTGAAAATAAATCTGTTGTCCTTTTGCCTGTAGCCTTGGTTATCGTTCAGATGTCCATGCTTTTACGTATCATGCTACATGCACTTTACCATGTATCATTAAATATTACAAAGCATTTCCTATAACTGCTCCCGTTGCTCCCCATTAGTGATGGGCAATGCCATGCTTCCCAGCGCCCCCAGTTGTGGTTTGCCTGCCAACTATACTCCATTAAAAATTTAGTTTGTTTTGGAATAAGTACAGATGTTTGTCATTTATTTAATCCCTGTGGGTCCAAATCATTAGTTGTAATAGTAGTTATGGTAGGGGAAAAAAATCTATTAGAATCTGATCCTCCAGTGATCCTGCTTTGGCAGCATCAGCTATGGTTCAGAAAACTAGTTAACAAAGTGGGCTGACAGAAACAGTAGGGACGGAGCAGAAAATTGTGAATTCGTATTGTTTACTGGTGTAACCAGACTTATATTCTTGCCTTCAGCTCTAAACCAATGAGCTTATGTGGTCAGGTTCAGCCATCCCCATATTTTTTTCTTTCCTATAGCAATGTTGACTCAGGTACTTTGCCCACGCTGTGTATTTCATGGGTTTGTACTAACAACTATCGCCAAGGTATTTTGAAGGTCCCTAACACTCCGCTCTTAAGTAAACAGCCATATTATGGCAGAGCTGATTGCTCCACTGTGGAGCTGGTAGATGCTCAACACTTTCCAAAGCACGCTATTCATCTAGGCACTGAAATGAAATCTGCTCTCCTGTGGGTTGTTGGCTGCACACGCTGCTCTTAGAGCTGTGCTGTGCTCCCAGGCAGCCGGTGGTTGGGCAGGTAAGAAGACAAGGCTCTGTCTGCCTTCGCTAGTTTTTGTATAATCCACCCTGCCCTGTAGCATTGCGAAAACTCAGGTTCCACCTTTCATTCCATGGTAGAGAAGTATCTGTCTCTGAGGCAGTACTGGAAAAATCTGTCACTACCATTCCCAGATTTCCATAATTCCTGGTACGTGGTTTTCCCTGATTGCTCTGGTAAGGTGGCCGTCACCATCTGTGTTGTTCCTGGGCATTTAAGCAATATATTCTAAGCCTGAGGGCTTGGACTGTGCCTGTGGCAAGCCTGCAACGGTTCCCCTGCAGGCAGGTGGGCAGCAAATGAGAGGTGGCTTACTCTTACCCTAGGCATGCTGACAGGGGAAGCAGCAGAGCCCTGGACACATCCAGGCTGTCACCCATGGGGCCGTTGGAGGCAGGTGGCAAGCACAGAGTGGTTCCTGACCCCATCCTCAGCCAGCAGCCTGTCCCTGGTGCCCAGGAGCAGGATGGGGGGTGGGAAGGTACTTGGTTTAGTTGGAGGTCTCCAGATTCTGCTGTCTGCAGAGGACAGCTACAGGGAACTGCATGCAGCACCAGGAAGCCCACTGCCTCCAGGCTTGGCCCGCTCCAGCATGTTTCTTGTAGCTGCAATGACAAATTTTTCTGTCCCCTGCAGCTCCAAGTGTGGAACAGCAGCCACTTGGCAACGTACGGTGATTGTATGGTTTGAAGCCTTTCACGACTGCACTTACACTAGCAAAACCTCTCTCTTAGATCCATATCTTGGGGCAGTAGCAAGGCAGTCTGGATGCAGCCCAAGACCCCCAACAACTTCCAGACCTGGAACTACGCAGTGGTCAGCTAATGCAGGGAGATCTAGCAACACCCGCCTTTTGTACGGTGGCTGTCCTTTTTCGGATCCCACTGTTTCTAATGAGCTGTTCCCAGAAGATGACTCCAGTGATTTGACACATGGTAATGTATGGTTTTTAATCCTGTTCTTTCCCACACCTCCACCTCCTTCTGAATGTTATTATTGCTGATGAAAGCCTGGGTGCTTTGAATACCACCCACCCATGCCACTGCTCCATCAGGTTCAGCGTATGCTTTTGTCCATGGGACTCACCTGCTTTTGTGTGGGCTTTCCTTTATTTCACCCTGCAGCAGAAGGTGCAAGTCATCTGGGCTTCCTCCTTGTCCCATCCCATGCGGTGGGTTGCAAGATGGGTGAATCTTTTTGATCCCCTGAGGGCTTGTGTACTGACGAAAAGCTGATCTCTGCTCCACAGAGCCACATGGCCAGTACAGTCATGACAATGACTCAGAGGAACAATCTAACTGGCAAACTTAATGAACTGGCAAACTTAACAAGTGAACAAAGGCAATTTGGCAAAGGAACTATTTTCAGCACAACCTGTCACAAGTTGTCCAAACTTATATGCATGAATATATGGTAGAGAAGTGGAGAAAGAGAGGAGCAAGAAAAGAAAAAGAAAGGAGAGAAGGATAGAAAAAAAAGAGAGGTATCACCACCCTTGGATCCTGCATTGTCATCTTGGGGTGGAGTCTGGATCCAAAGGTGATACGTTGACAAAGCAAACCGTGTGTGTTCATCCTTATATAGACTCATTAATCCAAGACAACCCCTGGGGTGGCAACCATCTCGCTTCTGCACAGTCAAGTGTTCTAGAGAGTTCTCAAATTGGGTCGGGGGTGTCGGTGCGGTGGCGAGGGTCTTTGGCGATCATGAATTCCTTTCGTGAATACCTTTTGACCAGCACATGCTCTGTTGTTGCCCACCAGAAGAAGCCGAGGGGGCAGCCCACCGCCCTGCCTCCACAGGGCTCACCCCACCCCTCTCTGTTCCCCCTCTGCCCACACAAGTTGTTTGAGACAAAGAAATATCTGATTGCCCAGTCGGTCTTAGACACCCCTCCTCAGCCCCTCTCCCCCATGCCTCTTGACAGCCCCATACTGTAATGGTGCTCCCCTGCAGAAGTTGCCTTTCACACCTCCTCAAAAACTGTCCCGCTCAGTCCTTTAAATTACACATCAGCCTAGCTGGGGCTCACTTAAGTCACATCTGGGCACATCTTGTTCAGTCATAGCTATGTGGTGCAAGGTAGTCCTCTAGAAAGGCGTGGTGGTGCGCATTCCCTCCCCATTGCATCGTGTGCTCAAAGTATGTGTGCTGCAGTCTCATACTGCGTCGCTGCCATCAATGAGCACTTTCTTTTGAGTTTCCAGGGGTGGCTCCCTCAGCAAGAGGAGTCAGTTCCTTGACTTCACAATACCTCATCTACAGGCGTACCACTGCCCTTCATGCCTTGGCCACCTGGAAGTACTGCCAAGTTAGCACCTCCTGGGGACAGCTGGATGGAAAGGGAGTTTACGTCTGGTACGATATTTGGCATTTCCCAAGATACCCTTCCCTGGCTTCTGGAAAGACTCCACTGGCCCGTAGAGTGCAGGTTAGATAGGAAGATGGTGTTTGTCTTCCCAGCATTGTGGGCTGCTTCTCTCAGATGCCCGTCCCACCTCAGTTCCTTCCTGTAGGTAGGACTCAGGATGATGAACTAGATGAAGTGATGCAGTGTCAACAGCTGAGTGCGCATTCGGAAAAGTGCATGGAAACCAAGTACTGTTTGCCAGGGAATGAGACCATAATTTCACATGCACTTTTAGGTAGCCAGCACTACTGATAGAGACAGTTTTTCACCCAGTGTTCACTACTTCTTCCTGCCCCTTTGCTACCTCGTCTCTTGGTTTGGCAAGAGCATCTGCATAGCCACATGGGGAATCTCATTCTGATCAAGATCCAGCTGAAAAATTACCCAGCAAAACAAACAAAAAACCCCCCCAGTTCTAGTCTGGATCTGTTTCCTGATCTGACTCGCCATGTGGCCACACAAATGTTTGCACCAGCACAGTGGAGGAGGCAGGGCAGGAGCAGGAGACAGGTTCTGGTAGAAACAGAGAAACTGCCTCTTAGCAGCAGTGTCGGGCTGTCCCAGCTGACACTGTGAACCTACACCATGAAATATCACATCCTCCTGTCTATGGGAAATGACGATGACTGATTTCAAAGACAGCACCATTTGTTAAATGCTGGAGTAAAATGGTTTCTTTTTTCTTTTTTTCTTAGGACTCAGTCAAGTTATATGCGGGAACCCCACCAAGGCCCTTCGCGCAAGGAGGCAAAAGCTGGGTGTATGTTTTTCTTCTATACTTCATATTCCTGCCTGGTGACCCCCATAAATCCTGGGATAAACTGAACTCCCACTGTGGCTTGTGGCAGCTCGCTGTCTTCTGTAGGCCCAAAAGCCCCCCAACAGGCAATTGGCCTTGAGGAGGATGGAGAGTCTCTTGCCCTGATGTTACAAGGGTGCCCGTGTGCTAGCAGCAATTAACCACCAGGTGTAAAGGAGCACACGAAAAACAGTGTTGGCTGCTGGTGGCGCATTTCCTGTTGTCCTGGCCAAGCACAGCACAAAGCAGGATTGCAAAATTTGATGGTATTTCTACAACAGCTATTAAGCAAAAGATTTTTTCCAGCAGTGTTTCTTTTGATGGTGGCATAAACAGTCAGATCACTAATGCTGAGATAGTAATAGTTCCTATTAACTAAACAAACACAAGGCCAAAGTTTGTTCCTCTGGGCAGTGGGGTGGTACCCCAGCCCTGCGAGTCAGCCTGCTCATTTCAGCAGTAACTTCATGAGACCCCTGTGTGTAACCCATGTGTGTAAGGGGGTGCAGTCTGGCTCATCGTGGTTAGGTTTTGTGGGCCCTGAGGTTCACCATGGCACGAATGCACGTGCGTATGTCTGAACAGGCTGTACTAAATCAGGGAAACAGCATGCACAGGACACCTGCGACGCTGCGCTGTCGGCAGCCTCGCTTAATGCTGACAACAGATGTTAAAGAACCACTGGAAAAAATGCATCCCTCCCTTGTCTCTCTGCTGCCACTGCCTGAGCACTGAAAGCGTTCTGAAACAAATTTGAATGTTTGAGTGAATTACTGTATGTTATAAACTAGGATGTGGAAGGGGACTGTGGTCGTATGCTGAATGATGCAGTTTCTGTGGTGCTGGTCTTAATATGCTTATTGTCATAGATGCTACAGGCTTATGCACCAGCGAGATATAAATCAACATTTTTGTTACTGTCACCCTGCGTTCCTCACGCTGTAACAGAGCACACAATGGGCATGTGGGGCTTAAAACTGAAGAGCAAGAAAATGGTGAGGGAAACTCAGGAGTAACAGTGGACTTAGATGCCTTCTAAAATCCAAGGTCTAGAAACAGAGCTGGGGAGCGCTCCTGAGAGTATCAAGATAACTTCTGTCATTTTTGCAGCCACCTGCAGTGATCCCTTTGAAACTCTGCAGTATGAGGATGGAAAACTTCTACGGCTCTGGCAGAGGAGGAGACCTGCACCAGGAAGATGTTTTCTCTAAACTGAGAGTACAGAGAGAGCAGCACGAGCGGTGAGGCCATGGGAGAAATCTTGTGCAGTAAAACAGGCATTTTCTGCTGTAATAATAAAATAAACTCTTTGGCCACCTGGTGGTGGTTTCAGGGGATAGTCTTGGCCTCCTGCCTTCCTGTCCCTGCAGTGGCAATCCTTCCATCAGTCCTCCTTGCTGGAGCATCTGTGGGGTGGGCAAGGGAGAAGAAACCTGGGGGAAGCTCTGACCTGTCTCTAGAGCAGGCTGAAGAGCAGCATAGGCAGGGTAGGCTCTCTTGCTTAGCAGGAGCAAGGAAATGACTTTTCATAACTGGTAAGACATTCTTGGCCCTGACAGTGTCTACCTTTAGACAGTGAAAGAAGTGAAAGTATATGAGGTTTTCTGCAAGCATCACATTGGTTTAAGCAAATGAAAAGCTGAAAGGAAAATGCTGCCATGCTGAGATCCCCCCCATTTCATAGACAGGTAACAGTTGTTTTGGAAGTAAAAATGGCATTATTTCTCCAAGCTTACTTCACTGTGTAGTATTCTAAATCTGCCCCATTTAATTTGATTAACTTTAGGACACTTTCAGATAGTCAGACACAGACAGCTTAGGTGTCTGATCCGTTTAGAATGATTTTCCATATCTCCAAGAAAGTGGGAAATCACCGTGGGTGAATAATTCTACTGTCTGGGTGTTTGCCTATGTGGCCATGCCAAGCTGCACTCGTTTGGCTGCGTATTCACAGCTCAAAGGCTAGCTAAAGGTGTGATGCTTGATGTTGTCCAGGTGCCTGCAAACAAATCAGCAAGAAAAAGCCTCCCATGCACTGAAGGTAACTCTTAGTGATGAGGAAGAGGGTGAAGCCTGCAGCCTGACTGACAGCTATGAAGATGAGTTAAGGGAGACCTGTGATGAGGACCTCATTGAAAGGATTTCTCTTGATTCTTCTTGCCACTCCTGTCTCTCCCAGTCTTCCTCAGGTACTGGATCTAAACCTCTGGGGAAGGGTTAGCATCGGGTAGTGACACGTATTACCAACCATTTGTAGACAGGTCTATTAGTAACTGCAGTGTTTTATGAGATCTGGCTTCTGTGCTCTAGAGCAGTGATTTGGAAATATCATTGCAGAGCCAGACCCTAAGTAATCCATTCCAGTTTTTAAGCAGGACACGGTGGCCACCTGTGTTGACCATCAGTTGATATATTTCAGCATGGATCTGTAGAATTAAGAGGAACAAAGCTGATATTACACCAGTTTAGCATCAAGTCTAGAGGAAGGATGTGCCTCTGTCTTTTACCTTGTGTCATTAATTTGTGGCAGTGCCAGCTGAGTCTAAAATACTGTTGCTTCAACTGAGCTATATTTTACCCAAGTTGACAGTGATGGAAATAATGACTAAGCTAATGATTAAGGTTTAACTGGGCAACTGGGAATTCTGGAAAGATATGCAACCAAAGGGATGCATTCAGTGTAAAGAGTTTAAAAATGAAATGTGCTCTTCTACTCAAGAGCAAAGCCAAAGACCTCTCTGGAATTGCATTTACATGAATGAAAGCAGAATCCCCACTCTTCATTACTTGTTGTATATTGTATTTAAGAATATCAGAATAATTAATAATGGTTATTCCACATGCATATCAGGTAGAGGATCTTACAGAAGTACAACTTTAATCTATTTCTATTGCTAAGAATAACTTTTTTTTGCCTCAGTCAATATTAGCATGTGAGTTTTCATTTTACATTTCTTTCAGGGGCAAAATGGATCTATTAAAATTTGGAAAAATGTAATATATTTTCGAAAAAAATAGAACTTTCATTAAACTCTTCAAAGGCTCTGTGCATTAACAGTAACATAATATCTCCTTAACAAGAACAGAAGCTCTTTGGAAAAATCTAAAGGAATGGCCTATTACCCAGTGAACACAGAAGTCTTAGATTATGATCTCATGGTTTCTTTAGATTTAATCTGATCTTTTTTAGATTTAGTATGATTTCTTTAGATTGAATGTGATTTATTATGATCTCATCATCTTTTAGATTGAGTAGACAATGCCCGAAACATCTCAGAGTGTAGCGGTGTCATGCCTTATAGGTCTATAAAAGTGAATGGTTGGGCATAGATCTGCCCGCCTTGTAACCAGATCTGCTAGGACTTGGTTACAAGATTGATGGAGGGGTTTGAAATCTTGTATTGCTTGGGGGGGGTGGGTGACGCAGATCCCAAATCATAAGCAGCTGGCCATAACAACCAAGATTCAAATAATCACAAACACAGTAGCCTTTGCCCACTGTCACTAACAGACGTATGTGTTTGGTAGAGCAAATACCTGATAAAACTTTAGCAACTGATAGACTTTATTCAGCAAGGCAGTTAAAAATACGCTTGACCTCTGTGACTTGAGACTGTGTCAAGATTTGGAGAGGGATTTAAATGCCTCGACACTTAACTTCAGAAGTGTGTCCTACCCAATGTGATTTTCTCACAGAAGAACTTGTTGCTGGAAATAATCCTTCTGACCAGGAAAGAACAAGTCATCTGAGCAAAACTGCTCTTATGTGAAAGTGTTTGCAGCATCAGATCCCTATAGTCTGCACTCTTTGGAAGTCATCAAGTGTTATTTCAGGCTCTTGAGTCAGACATACCAGTCTTTCAGAGTGTCTTTACTTAAAAACAAATAAAAAATCCTATGAGATTTAGACATTTTTAAAGCATATAGTATGATGGAAACTGTTCAGTGAAAATTTTATATCAGCTTTATGTGGTTACCTAAGCAGTAAAATACATCCCCATCAATTAGGAGCTATAAAGCTGAACTTTCTGGGCCTGGGTTTTGGTAGCACATTCTTTAGATTGTGTTCGTGCCCTGGACCTTGCACATCAGGTGATTACAGTTGGTTCTTTTAATAAACGAGAGCAATTGGATCCCTGCTATGTAGAGAACGGTTTTAAGCATATATGCATGCACATTATATTCATAAGTCAGTAACAAGATGATTCTTCTCTGTATGTTGCACCTGAGGATTACATGGGCTAAAATATGAACAGCCAGATAGTAGCCCTGCATGTAGTGCAATATTTTCCCTAGCAGCCCTGCATGTAGTGGAATATTTCCCTAGCAGTCATGCACTTTCTGTAATTTCAAGGCTAATCTCAAGACCTTATTCTTGCACCTTTGCCTCCGATTTAAAAAAAAAAAAGTGGATCTGCTCATCTGTGATTCTCCCTGGGCCTTGAATTTCAGATCACTGGATGGGGTCCTCAGGTATTTAAAACAAGGCGGTGCAAACACTGGCCAGGAATTATGTAGGTAAGATCCTGCCTGAGAACAGGAGGATGGGTGAGCTGGTCTGTCCCTCTTGAGCTGTGCACAGCTTGTGAGCAGTTCCCGTGCTTGGCATATCACCAGCAGTACTGGCAGGGAGGCTGCTGAGTAACCCAAACCCCCGACTACAGAGGAAGCAATTCAACAAGGCCAGCATCGCTGTGTGCCCCGGGACACATCTGCCCACCCAGCTCCATCACACAGCATTCTCTGAAACCTTTTGCTCACTGGGTCAGGCATTTAGGAGTAAGATGAACTGATATATCGCTGCGCTTCCCCCCCTGTTTCAGGTTCATCACAGGCTCAGGAAGGTGCAGTGTTCTCCAGCCTGAACTGTTGTTTAATTCCATCCCCTCCAAAAAGCCCTTCACCTGCATCTGTAATGGGTGTTGCAGCAAGACCCTGGAAAACAAGGAACCACAGACGTCTAAAAATACCCAGCCAAGAGGAGGACAGGCAGTGGACACAGCGATGCCAGTCAAGGGCCCATCAAGAAACTTCAGCCCAGCCTCTGGGCAAGGAACTTGCTCTCCGGAGCCAGCACAGTGTGCCAGCTGCCTCCAGATCCCGAGGGCAGCCCCAGCCTGCTGGGACCATCAGCCGACAAAGGCCTATTTCAGGACCAGCAGCTGTTGGATCAACAAGCATCAGGTATGCGTGCTGCCGGCAGCACTGCCTGCAGCATTTCTGGGGAAAAGAGATGGGACTTCAGGGCAGGAAAAAGCAGACTTGTGTTGTCTCTGGAGTCTCCTGCCTGTTCTGTAAAAAGAACTCCTTTTATTTGTGCTGACATTTACTTTCAATGTCTAACACCAAATGAAACATTTTCTCATGTTCCTTATAGTTTGAGTGTTGGAAATTTTGTATTTTCTTGAATTTTCCTGTGTTCTTACTGCTCCATTCCCATGTTCCCCATGTAAGGTGGATGCCTATGTCTGTTGCAGAGCTCTTGTAGTGGTGCTTGTTCAACACTCTCCCCGGGTAAACCCCAAGACAAGTTCCTGACATCCCACTTTTTTTTTTTTTTCCCCTTGAAACTTGCATTAATCCATATTAGAAAGAGCTTTGGAAAATAAAGTAGGCATTAGATAAGTGTCACATGCACCAAAACATGGTTATTTCTGAAACTGCTTACTGTAAGATTAGCATTGTGATACTTTGCAGAAACAAAACTGAGGAGTTGTGACATGACACCTTGATTTTGAAGTTAATGTAGTCATTACAGAGGAGCATAGGCAGCGAGCGCATGCCCTGTGTGGGAAGCTGGTGTTCCTTGTGCTGTTCCCAGGTCTGGCAGCTTTTTGATTCAGTTTTGAGAGTGGGAGACGGCAGAGCCGGTAGGGGGAATGCAGATATTCAGACCCAGAGTGCAATTTCACCACAGTGTTTCTCTCTTTTCCTCAGGCCTGTCATGGATGAGAGCCCTCCTGAAGAGATCAACCACCACCAGCCAGCTGTCTGCACATCCACAAAAGCCTCGGAGAGGTATGGGCTGATAAATGCTGCTTGGCCCCTGACTGCAAGGGCAAAGCTGCAGTCTCTGCCAGACAGACCCACCTCAACAACATCTCAGCACAAAAGTCCTCGGTCCTAGAAGATACCCAGGTGGCAGCATATGTTGGAGCCATGTACACAGCACAGTCTTGAAGGATGGATGATATCTTCCAGCTTCTTCTGCAAGCTAAACACAGAACTGTGCAAGTAGAGCAGTTCAAACAAATGACATGATTTGCCTCAATTAAGGCTACAGCTGATCCAGAAATGCTTTTGTTAAAGAGCACCCGCTGATCAACAGAAGAGCTAATCAACCTCTTATTACAGAAAAACATGGTTATTTTTGCAGCCTTCATGCACTAAAACAGAACAAGTCCTAACGTATTTCCTCTCATCCACACCATGCCCTGCTCTGTGAGTCAGGCAGGGACACTGAACCAAGCGGAGCATGGAGCCTGCAGTTTGTGGAGTAGGCTGGAGGAGGTGAAGGACACAGTGTGTTCCCTCTCACGCTCAGCCACCTGACCTAGCAGCAGCCCCGTGGTGTGTCTTTTGCAGTCCTGGATGTTTAACATGCAAGGGACAGAGCCAAGGGCTTGAGAGGAAGTGTTGACTGGAGTGGGTTGTAAGGGAGGGATGCGTTGCCCAAGGAAGAGCCCAGGTGGGAAGAGCTGGGTGGTTTCAGAGCTGATGCCCCCACAGGAGCTCACTCTGTTCACAGGTATCTGAGGTTCTTGTTGCCTGCATCGCTATGGGAGCGAGTGCTGACCAAGTGGCTCATCCCAACATTAACACGTTTGTTTGCTCTGTAGCTACCTGGAAGGATTTCTATTGCTTCCTATGGATAGACATTGCATACTGGAATTTCATTAGCAGAGCTGACCCCTCTGTAAGCAGGTGTCAGAGCATCCCCTGCCTGTGCCTTTAGTCAGGCATCCCACCTCTAGTCTTTTTAAATCAAATTCACTTTCCCATTTCATAGGACTGAATAATTTTAAGTAATGCTGCAGCAAAGACAAGGCAGGGAAGTAAGGGAATAATCTCTTGCTTTTTCAGTAGGGTATTTGCTTTATATTCGTGTGAGATTCAAAACATCTGGGTTAGTGACTGCTGACTGTGAGATGTTGATCCAAATGGCTGTGCCTTGCAACTTTATTGATGTTGCTGTCTGAAACTAAGCGTCATGACATTTTTTTCCAGTACAAGTTACTATGTTAGATATATATTTTAAAATCTGTTGATAAAACAGTAAGCACACAATGAGTTAATTAATTGGTTTATGGCTTCTTTCTACTGGTCAGCTTAATGTAGAGGAGAAGAGTAACAGAGAAAGCCCCAAAACTTTGGCTCATCATAGTGATACTTGCACCACTTTCTCCTACAAAATAGTAAGGAGCTTGAAGCTAGTTGCCCAATTTTGGTGGGCCCTAGAGGAAATCATCCATCCAAAATCATTAAAAACCACGTGGCATGTGATTCTGTGCAATACTGTCGATGCAGGCAGGATTTCTCATCAGATGTTGCCCAACAACAGTGCCTGTGTCCTTAAACGGGCTCCCAAAATTGACTTTTTGCCAGTGTCACTGACCACGACCGTCACCAAAAAAAAATCTGACCTTGTAAAAGAAAGAAGAAAATGGCAGCATAGTTTTCAGAAATGCTCTGCGCCCTCCCTGCCTGCTTGAAGTCTGCAGCCCTCGCTGGCAGTCAGCGCTGTTGACAATCAGGTCCTTCTCTATAGCCAGGGTCGTATCAGTGGGTGATGGGTAGGACTGTCTTCTCAAAATATTCAGAGCCTCCCTCTCGATTTGCATCTCTGATTTCAAAGGGGCAGAGGGGAAAAAAAAAAAAGCATAAGTGAGCTTTTGTGCATGGAAACCGGGGCAGCTAGACGGGTCTGCACGTGCGCATCTGCAGATGCAAAACTCTGGTTATGGATCTGGAAAGTGCTCTCAAAAGCACCTGTGAGCTCATTTCGCAGCAAACACAACTTGTTTCTGTACATGCATCAGGCAAGGAGCTTCTCAGTGGTGCCAAAGAGGGCTTGGAGAAATGAAAAAAAGCTCTGCCCTCCTGCGTGGGAAGTAAGAGTCACCAAGGGCTTCATCAAAACCATTTAACTCAGGGTTTCCTGTTTCAACATCCCTTCAGGTACCTCAGGGATATCTCTCAGGGGTGCAGGCAGTGTGTGATCTTCAAAACAGCCACTCCACCCCATACTAACCAACTCTGCCCCTCTGATGACCTAACCAAGGCAGTCACATGCCATGTAGTGGTGTGGCATGTGTGTACAGAGACAGGAGAAGGTGTCCACTCTGCCTACCGGTCACTGCATCAGCTGGTGACCCAGCATCTTCTCAGGTGTGCATCAGTAGGGATGGGCATGTAAGAAGGGCTTGAAGCCATGTGCTCTTGTGTCCTGGCAGTGCCACCATGAGGATTTCATGTCCAGAGCTGACTTGAAGGCCTGATGAGTGAAGCAGTTGGCATGACTGCTGTGACTTTAGTGGCACTGTCCTGCAGCAAGAAGCGACAATGCCAGGAGCTGGGGGCCCTGGGGCACTTGCAGGGAAGCCTCTTGATGCCATTCTCCTCATTTGAACCTCTGGGTTATCTGCAGGGAAAGCAAAAGCTCTGCTCTCAGATGGACCTTGCGGGCAGGGCACCCCATGCTTATCTGGGAGGCGTGCTCGATCTCAAGCTGCACTGCTGACTGCATCCCCAGAGCACAGGGCAGGAGGCCAGAGAAAGGATGCTCCCATGCTCAGCCAAGCAGCAATGCTTAGCTCTTGGGTGTTGCTCTGCCGAGGTGGATCTCCAGCCGTGTTACCCAGCAGGACAGAGACTGGTTTCGTGTATACAGAGAGGGAGGCAAAGCGACTTGGCAGCAGAGCAGCGGCACCAGTGGGGATCTGACTTCCCTCCATCATGCATGCATCTTGTTAAGATGGTTTTGGCAGAGGGAGTGGAGGAAGACTAATTACTTCTCAGCACATGAAACCTTAGCAGGTAGGAGAGCCAAGCATTGGTGGACAGCTCTGTCAGAGGCATGAGTTTTTTGCGTGCCACCTGCGTTGTGTCCTTTCTGGGCAATCTGACCTGCTGAGTGGTATGGGCAAGAGTATGTGCTCTGAAGCTAAATGCATCACGAGACCCGGTGACAGGCTGTCGTGCAGGGAGGCTTGTTAAGAGACCAAGCTTGCAATCACAGCCTGACCTAACGGAGAAGAAGGGCTGGAAGTGTCCTCTATTCCGGTAGCGGGTGCACCTCTAAGTTTCCCAGAGCTGCCACGCTGTTCTGTCACAGTTTCCAGGACAAGCAAAATAAACAGGGCCGTTGTAGATCTGCACAGCTACAACATCCACAGAGGAAATTATTGCTCTGGTTTTAGCCTCTGCTCATCCACTTTCCAGCTTTTGCATCTAGACAATGTAAAAGCCAGCCAGGGCTTTAATAGGCTAATTAGGAGATGTCAGACGTGATGGGCTACCCGTGAATTCAATTCTCTTGGCCCAAGAGGGAACTATTATGGGGAGTTTCACTGTGTGTTTTCTTGTCGCTGTTTCCTCTGTTAAAATCCTGCGTTGGTTCCTTGAATATGGACAAAGTCATTTAATGAATGAGCTTTTTCCCATCCCTGCCTTTGCAGACTCTATTAATAATTTGTCTCAGTAGGGTACTTGCTTCCAGTTGGATGCAACCAGTTTCAGATGTACATTACCAGGGTCCATCCCCTCGTTCTTGTAATGGGTCAGGAGCCGCTGATGCCTTTAAATATCTTGCTGCCTTAATGGGATTTGCTGCCAGCTGCCAAATTGATATCTAGTGTGTAAGCAGGGGAGAGGGGTGAAAACTGCTCCCCTCTCACCTATTAATAAATAAGCGCAGCGGGGAATAGTTTTCTGCCAGGAGCTAAGTCTCATCAGTGCATACTGCTAACGGAGAGAATGGTTAGCTGGGGGCAGCCGCCCTGCAGGGAGTAGGGCTTGGAGCAAAGGGATTTGGCCCAAAGCAATGATGCTTCAGCGTTAGCAGAAGCAGGGTCTATCCAGGAGGCCTCTCAGCATCACTTAGCTGGTGTCCCGCAAGCAGCTCTGCTGGAGTGGCTGGTGCTGCCCTGCATACTGAAAGGCTTTGCTCAGCCAGAGCTTTCAAAAATAATTGGAGAAAGAAGTGGGCAGCTGTGTGCTAGCCATCCAGTTATTTCAGTGTCTAAAAATCCTCCCTCCTCCTGAAGGGAGCACGTCTGGGATGGCATCCCACCCAAACAAATGGGCCCTGACAAGTGGAGGTGGCTCCTGCTCAGACTTGGATTGCATTCTGCACCTCTCAGCTCTGTAGAGCCTGGCCTGTCACAGGGACCTTAGCATCCCATTTGGGGACAGGCCAAAGGGGATGCTAGCCCTGTCCAGTGTCCCCATCGCAGCTGTGTTCACAGCCCACCTCCTGCACAGTGCTTATGACTGTCAGGCTCGTTACTGAGACTGTTACTTACTCATGTTGAAGGCTTGGGGTTGCTTTGCACTTGGAACAAATCCATCTTCATTGCTAGATAAAGAGGAGATACTTTCTTTGGCTGCCAAGGAGGAGAAAGTCCCAGAGACGTTCAGGAGAGAAAGTCTCATAGAAATGACAGGTCAGCTCAGGATCGCTTCCTACACAGTTCCTTGGCTTGCCACCGTGTTCAGAGCCCGACATGCTTGGGCTCATTGCCATGGGCAGTGTCTTGCAGCTTGGTAGGACACAGACACTTCTAGGGTATGCTTAGTCAGATGGTTCATGCTCCAGTAGTGTCAGTCTCTCCATTGATAAAACAGGGTTTGAGATGGCTTAGATGTCTTCTTGGTACCATCCAATGCCAGGTGAGATGAATCCTGCCCTGCAATAGCTTTCTCAGTGTGCCAGAGTATCCTGGCCGGGTTTTCGTTGTTGGCAGCATCTTGCTCCTCTACAGTTACCCTGGGCGATACTGGAAATGTGAAGGTAAACGTCTTTCCTCTCCTGGCTGAGGCAAAGCACCAGCCTTGAAGAATGGAGATGGTAGGGGATTGTGTGACCACTGGGTACAGTGTGCCTCGTGCCAGTGTGTGTGGCTCCTT